TAATTCATAATTAATACACCAGATAATTCAGAGATATTCTGAGTTTCATCACCCAGCAGCTGCGGGAGAGGCTCACAGCTCGTTTTCAGGACTATTTTTGTCCCGAGTCCAGTCTGATGAGCCACTGCCACGCATTGGTGCGGATATCTCTGTCAGGAGACCGACTGCAGGCACTCGATTTCAGCTAAAGAGCTCCTCTCCATCTGTTTCAGGTTAGTGGACATCATTCAGTAAACTATCCCGTCGGGAAATATGTCGCTACGTCACACAGTGGAGTCTCTCTGACTGGTTGACGCGGCGCGTCGAGCTACAAAAGTTCAGATTTTCTAACTTCAGCGATTTGCGCCTCAGCGCGTCGAACGCTGAGATCGTTCACATCGTTCAAATCGCGCTGCTCTAATCGCGCTTGAGGCGCCGCAGCACTTTTATAGTCGCGCTTTGGAATGTGCGCGTGAAGTGGGCGCGGAGTGCGTGCGCATTCGGCCGTGCATCGTCGCACTATGACCGCAGGAGAAACGAGGTCCAGACTCAGCGAGCTTTTGTGCGTCCTGGAGCACTACTTCACCTGCACTGACAGTCGCCTCGCTGCCTCATGTGCCGCGGCACGCGCTCCTCCCGCAGCAGGCATCCGACTCGTGGACGCGCCGTCACGTAAACATGTAAAAAGTTCGGTGTTCATTTTCACACACCCGAACCAGGTCCAGATAAGTTATGTCCCCCCCACCCCCCCCTTCATTTGTGCTCTCAGCCACGCTGCTTCCCGCTTCCTCTGTTTTGACTCCAGCCGGTTACGTCACCAAAAGGAATTGCGCGGTTGGCCGGTAGACTACAGATCTCTATCATAGGACAAATTTATATCGTTTCTACCATATATCGTTTATATCGCGCATTCCTAACCTGGACCAGTTCTTCCGTGTTTGGCTGTGTCTCTTTCCTGTCCCCCAAACCAGCCGGTCGAGGCAGATGGTGTCCTGTCCTGAGCCTGGTTCTGCTGGAGGTTTCTTCCTGATTAGCAGGGAGTTTTTCCTCTCCACCGTTTGCTCAGGATGGGAGACTGTGATGAAGTGATTCAACACAAACTGCTGGCTTCTTCTTTAGATTGTTCTTTTTTCATGTGCAGTGCCCTGAGACAATGTATGTTGTGACTTGGCGCTATATAAATAAACTGAATTGAAGATTCAGACTAATGCCTGGTTTGCATGGCAAGATTTAAACATTGTTGGCTGATTTTTAAAACACAAGACGATAAAAACTCATAGGTTTAACAGGTTTAGTCCTAAAGTGCGTGGTGTACAGCCACATAGCCAACGACAACACACCAATAGATTTMACTCAGGAACATTCAGATGTCAGATGGGAAATCTCGCAAAACCTCTCAAGATCAAACGTGAAGAGCAAACAACCATGGACGATGAGGAAGAAGCAGAGGAAAAACAAAACAAGAAGACATCTTCAACATCCACCAGACTTTCTGGTGCTCCATGGCAGTTGTTTTATTTGTATTTTGGATTTGCCTACGTGTTTACATCACCTCGCTTTCTAACTGGATACATTCAACAGGCTGTGAGCTCGTTTGTCCTCGGGGGAACAACACACACATGCTGGGATAAAGGGTCAAGACAATCCAACCTGTTGAATATCTTTGATTTGAGATCGGAGCAGTCTGGGTATCCTTTTCAGCCGACTAGACTCACTCTTAACTCACTTCACGCAGCAGAAGTATCTCCTTAAATTATCTTCAGGGCCATCATGATAATAGAGGCGTCCTTAAAATTGTTGGAAGGGGAAAATCAGGCCTAAAACCAGCACAATTATGTTGCCTGTGCATAAAGGGACAACTTTGTCTAAGGAGTACTCTACAAGCTTTTAGAAACATCTCAGATTGGAAGGCTTTTTTGCAAGAGTTAAAATCATAAATGATGTTTAAAAATGACTCAAATCTAAAACAAATGTTCGTACAGTGAAGCAGTTCCTGACTGCTTTGTCTGGATGTTTCAGATTAGTGTTTGTCCATATGGATTTAATGCTGCTCTTGTCTCGTCTCCTAATGCAGTTTGTCTGCTTGGAGAAGTTAGCCGGGCTCACCAGATGAATAAATCCACCACAGTCTTACGTCCAAGTCACTCTGTTAGATCCTGGTGATGGTTTTATTGGTTTGGATTGCTTCTGTTTTCTTTCACCCAGAGAAAGTCACTTCACTGTTAAAAAAAAAACCTTGCTTTCGCCCGCTATGATTATAGAAGCAAAGATGAAAAGCGTTCCTTTCAGTCCAGATAAGCTGGCAAACAGTTGTGTTTATGTTTTGGGGACATGGAATCCTCCCTGGCAACATGTTGACTAGGTTTTAGACATCAGAACTCTTGTATTTTTAGGAATAGCTTTAGAGGAGACGCTTGGATCGTTGGGGGAAAAAAGGGGCAAGGACTCTGAATAAACATCACCAATATTATGACAAGAGTCTTAAGGTGGACTAAACTGACATTTTAGTTTTATTGCAATAATCTGGACCTCAAGAAAAAAACAATCCTACCAAATAAAAGGATAAAATTAACTTGAGGCTAAAAGAGAGCAGTTGGGGAGCACAAAAAGGAAACAGAAGACTGTCCTCATTTTCATCCCTGGCCTTTCTTTACATCGACTCTCATTTTTCTAATTGTCAGGAATGCTGACCTCAGCTCTGTCGCTCCTGTGCCAACTCTCCTTCTCACTTAATTTAATCATCACGCTATTATTTCACTCCTCCTCCCTCATACCTTCCTGCTTCTTCACCTCCCCTCCACACAACCTACCAGTCGCCTTTGAGCCGCTGACAAAATGAAGAGTGAAACGAGGAGCGAACTGCTGACTCATGCTTTTAAGAAAATGTCATCTTTGTGACAAGACTTTGGGGGAAATATTTGATTAAAATATTGCACCTTTTGGCTTTTCAGTTGCAAAAGAAAAAGAAAAAAAAAACCTTTGAAGATATCACTTTAATTATCGGTAAAAATAAAAGTTGCTGAGTCGTGCTTGAGCAGAAACTATTCCATCACGATAACAAATTGGATTATTTCTCCAATTTTTTCTTTTATCGGGGTAAAAGAAAACTGTTGATAAGTGGAAAATTACAAACGATAAGGGAACCGCTCTGAGACGAGCGCTGTGGGGAATTATTTAACTGTGACACGTCTCCGCAGAGCAATAAATTAGATTAGACCCACATTTTTTTTTCCCCACACAGACAATGGAACAAAAGCGGGATGTGATAATATACAAGTGAAGATTAACAGTGTGGTGCAAAACAGAATGAAATGAATCTCAGTTAACAGCTGAACAATTAATTAAACAGACCTTTGTAAGGAGAGAAAACCTTACCTCTGAAYATCTATAACTTAAACTCATCCTGAAACGCTTCTGACATTTATATACTTTAAAGCCTTGCACTGAGTGAAGGTGTCATGTTTACAAAAATACAGGATATATTAAGAGTTATTTGATATAAAAGAAACATGAGCCACACATATGATCTTACTGGGTTAGAGGATAACTTACACTTTTTTCTACATTTTTCTATTTTTAATCCTAATTTTTTTAAGCAAACTTCAGCTCCAGTCTTTTTTTCCTCTAGTTAGCTACTAAACTTCTAAAAAAAATAAAACTAAGCAGACAAACAGGAGAGAAGAGTCTCACTAAGTACATTATTTGTTTAATAGCACTGTCAGGTTCTCAGTGTTCTCAGCATAGGTCAAATTAGGACTTCTTGCCCTTTCTGAAAATAAAGGTAAATATTATAAAGGTCAAAACAAGTCAAATAGTTGTCTGATACTTTAATTACAGTCAACATCAAACATGAGATATGTACATCCAAATTCTTGTTTTATTAGTTTACAGTTAGATAATAAAGAGTAAATTCTTCAGTTTATGTAAATTATAACATTCATTTAGGACYAACTGAAGACTTTAAAAACTAGCCTCAGCTTAAATACAGAAAACTGCTTTTCAAACACAAAGTTTGCATCACAGTCAGACRTTATTTAAAAGACCATTAGATAAATAAAAAGGATGACTGAGCGGAGATATTTAGAAAGGAAGAGCTAAACTCTTTACATCACCGGATCCACAAACACTCAGACAGTGRAGTCTCTGTGCCGTCAGTAACCACCTCTGAGACTCTGAGGTGTCATGAAAGGCTTCAAACATAACACAGAAAAGATGAGACATGCGGCACGAGGAAGGAAGCGAGAGAGGGGGGAAAAAGGAGATGCTTGTCGTTGGACACAACTGCTCTCTGAAGCCACCTTACCTCTAACGTGTAATCACATATGAGAACCAACACGGAGAGGAAGGAGAAACCAAACTCCCAGCGATGGTTCTTTCACTGAACCCCAGAGACCTTTGAATATGAAAAGAGCCCTGTGTGGAACCACAGAGGCATTTGGTCGTGTTTATATCCTTGTTTTTGGCCAGGCTGAGTGTGTACACAATGATGTGTGTGTCCATGAACTCTGTTAACACCTATCTGTGTTCTAGAGTGCTGGTGCGTGAGGTTTGTGTRTTTATCTGTGGGGAGAATATTATCATCAATCTAAATTTATACATGAGCGCCGCCTGCTACAATGTGTTGAAGATAAAATGTGTGTGTGGGGGGTGAACTGTAGGAGTGGCAGGTTAATCCTAAATTTACTCTCTGTGGTTGGAGGGCTAGTGGTCACATCTGGACCGGGTTTCTCTCTGCCTTCCTTGTTTTTCTTTGCTCCCCTCATCACTGCCACCTCACCTGAGCACCTTTGCTTTTATTTACACCTTTCCAAATTTGGCCACCGCATTCCTCGGCTAAACTCGACCTTTATTTTGCGTGAGAGCACATCACCTCTTTTGTCACTTGTCGTCTCTAAACCCCACCCCCGTTGAAAAGCTGTGCAGTCAGGGTTCAGGGKTTTTACCTGCTGTTTGAGCTGCTGAACCAGGCTGTCCTTCTCCCTCTTCAGAGCGGAYACCTCGTCTTGGGTTTTCTTCTTTTTGGACGAGGAGAGCTCTAACAGGGCGATGTTAGCATCTTTCTCGCTGATAGCAGCCAGCAGTGCCTCTTGCCTGTACAGGAAACAAATGTACAGATTAGAATTGTTTCCCTTTGGTTAAAAAAAAGTTTACCAGCAGTTTTGCAGTAATTGTAGAAATAATTGTGCTGTCCATAATGTCATGTCTGAATAAATGCAGGAATCCACTGGATTTCTTCTCAAAACTTTATTCTCAATCTTCTGACCCCAATCAGCACTCAGCACAGGCCTCAGCRTAAGGCCTTGAGTTAAAAACCCAAACAAAACAGCCCAGTCYGTCCAGRCTGACTATAACAGAGACTCTGCAAAATACTAACAACTTCTATAATAATGAATTGACCTTATAATGTATTTCTCTTCCTGGTTACACCCCTGGAGGTGTTACAATTCAGACATCAGAACGTAACTCATTTTTGTTTAGGCTAGAGAGAGAACACATGATAACACCCCAACTCTCATTCTCTGCTTTAAACTTAAAGGCTGCAATGATCAGGAAGTATAAAATWCAAAACTGCACCTAAAATTAAATTAATCATTTACGAAATTTCCTTCAASTCAAGACCACTTTTTGATGGTCTCGGTCTTATATTTTATTTCAAGACCAGTCAAATCTACAACTATGAAAGTATCACTAAACTGCCTGAATATTGACCAATTTATCTGTTCAGTRTTAGATATRTGTATTAAGTCAGTTAKCTGTGTACAGTATACTGTATCTTTTAGGGCACTAGTTTACGTTTTTTTTGTCTGGTCTTGGTCTTGACTTGGTCTCACCCTCCCTTGGTTTTGGTCTCGACTTGGTCTCACCCTCCCTTGGTCTTGGTCTCGACTTGGTCTCACCCTCCCTTGGTCTTGGTCTCGACTTGGTCTCACTCTCCCTTGGTCTTGGTCCCGACTTGGTCTCGCCCTCCCTTGGTCTTGGTCTCGACTTGGTCTCGCCCTCCCTTGGTCTTGGTCTCGACTTGGTCTCGCCCTCCCTTCGTCTTGGTCTCGACTTGGTCTCACCCTCCCTTGGTCTTGGTCTCGACTTGGTCTCGCCCTCCCTTGGTCTTGACT